AGGATCCCCCTCAAATTGTGTTTATGTCACATACAGTAAAGTATGTGCGTGCCCTCAAGTGTACATCAAGCTTTGCTTTCATATCACATTTAAATGTGCCAATCTTTGAACTGTAAAGAAAAAGGTACAAAACGAAGGTCTTTGCAAAAACTTTGAATTGATTATAAATCAGTCACCAAATCTGTCATCGGAGTCATTTATGTTGCGTGCCCTCCATAATAATGTATAGAATAGTTGGTAATAGTTAATTCTGGTATTACTTCTTTTGTATTCTAAAAAAGGGTACAAAACCACAATATTGAAGGTATCAAGTCAATAAATCAAACTTTACCCATAGTTATCAATATTATTTTACTTCAAAAATTAAACAAACTGTAAGGGAGGTATCTGTAATGCCTTTAACTATCATTGCAGAGGATAAACATAAGTCACTTTAGAGTTATGAGTTGAAATAGGACGCCGAACAGTGAAGGAAAAGGCCCGGGAAGGGTAACTTGCCTATGTTGCTAGGCAACTTAATAATCTTAATGAAATAATCCGCCCACGCAACGGAAGTTTCCTATCCCTTTCATTTACTCTAATATCTATGGTGTGGCTCAATCAAGCCATGCTCCACCCCCACACACAGTAAATGGTGGCACATGGCCCTATGTGGCGAAGAAAGCTTTGGTTTTTCTCGACTTTTAAACAGTTTAGCATACATTTGTTAGGCTTTATTTGTTGCATACAAACTGCTATCTAGTACCTAATGTTAAAAGACTCTGGCCGCTACCTCAGGAGAAGAGAGCCTCGTCTAAACTCACAAGGTATGAAAGTTTGGGCTATCATATCTTTAAAACGAAGACGTTTGGAACAATTTCTCTCATATTAATGAAAGATGAGGCTTTGCTTTATTGTTTTATCTGCCCTGTTGCTCTTTTGCTTTCACTACGAAAGAGCTGCAGGAGAGCCGACTACGTTTGGCAACTTTGCCAGCTTCTTTTACCACGGAAAAGACAAATCAAGGATTCCCAAGACGGAGAATAACTTTTTCTAGAGCCAGTGTTGATTATAAGACTCTCCAGGACAAGACAAGAAAGCAATGTCAGCTCAAAAGTGGAGGTCAAAGCGAACACACAGACAGGACGACTGCTTTACCCTCGACTACGCCTACGCGGTCTCGGGTAATGACAGACACGCCCAACAACGGGCCTGCCTGAAATACGGATCCACGCGGATCAAATGCGGATCAGGCTGAAATGCGGATCAACGCGGAACGCTCGCGGATCTGTATTGAAGTACGGAACAACACGGAAACTATACGGATCTTTCTGCAAGAATGATAGCTATGCATCAGGAGAGAAATTTATCAGCTCTATTTGAGTCTTTGATAGGAACTTTATCATCCTTGCAGTTTCAGTACATGCAGGTAAGCTAATGCTTATGATCACTATGTCGATAATATTAGCCTGTGTTTTATGACAGTTGAGATATTCTCTTCAACTTTTGTAAACATGCAACCATTGCCTGTGGTAATGAGAAAACAGACTACTACTAGATCTAACTACTGAGCAGTCAACACACTCAACATTAGCTCAGTGTGCCTTCATGCAGTCAAGAGACAAGTCAAGTTATTTTAAAGTGCTATCATGGCTGTACCCCCCCCCAAGTTCAACATAAATGGCAAAGTGGACCATTGTCTGGGAATTCCAGTCTTTGTTTTTTTACTTTACCACTGTTATTTTCTAATTATTATTATTCATTCTGCATGACTTAAGAATTATTATATTTTTAATTTTTATTATCATTATTCAGCTAACTACTATTATTATTTATTCATTCCATCAATCATTCACAGTCGTAGTCTCTTAAAATTTTACTATTAGCTATTGTTACTCATTCATCATTTTTGTTTATTGATTTAATCTCATTGTATTTCCCAATTTCAGTGTACTATATGCTTCGGTTTTATAATTGCAAAATCTAATAAA